AAAATCAAAAATCGTTTGCTAACTTATTAATTCTGCAACAATATTTTCATTATCCTGTAATCAACCAGGACTGGAGTTCAATTTGTCTTCGAAAAATAATGACTTTTCAATGGACGCATTTTACCAAGTTTCAAGTTGGGATTTTTCCTGAAAGTCCCTGCATGTAATGCATAAGAAGTAACTTTTTTTCTCAAGTTTCAAGGGCCAAAAAGGGGGTGCGTACTATGCATGGCTGCATTTTATACACACCAAAAGACGGTAAGACAAATGAATAATCATGTGAAAAAACTGAACTATCGCAAGCTAAATCTATTCTTTCTATTGCTTAATACAAATACTGAAAATAAAAATATCCATGAACATAAATTTGATATTTCAACAAGAAATAAAAGAAACTTGGAAAGCAAAGAATATAAAAAAAAGTTTATTTAAGGGCAATAACTTCAATAAGGAGTTAACTGAAAAATTTGGTCATGTTGACCTATTTAAGTTTCTATCTCTCTATTATAGTTTTTAAGATATATGGCAAAAACGCAAAAAAAATGGTAAAAATTGTCATTAAAGAGCAATTACTCTAATAAGGAGTCGTCTGACGATTTTGGTCATTTGACTTATTTGAAGATCTTGTCTTGCAATGCTGATCAGATTTGCTTTTTAAAGTTTCTGTCTATCTATTATTAGGGAAAAAAATTTTAAAAATGGTAAAATTTGTAATTTAAGGGCAATAACTCCTATAAGAAGCTGTCTGACCGTTTCGATTTATAAACGATAGAGTTCAACATTCTGAACATTTTTGCTATTGTCAGAATTTCTCTACTTATATAGTCCAGCGGATATAAGAATAATTGATCACTTTATGGGAAAAGCATGAAACTTGGCATAGTGAAAGATTAAAGTTGGCATAGTGATAGATTAAGGGGTATAAACAAAATTTAGATATGGAGCCACGAAAAAAAAATCCAATATGGCCGCCAAATCAAAGATGGCTCACATAAGGTACTGGGAATACAACATCATACACTTGATGAAGGATAAAGTCTACTAATATGCAAGAGTTCAGTAGATATCACAAATTTAAGGAAATACATTTAAGATATGCCAATAATTATTTTTGCAACTTTATAAATTAATCAAAATGGCGTCCAAATTCAAAATGGCACCGTAAAAAATGAAAGAGTATGATGGTATTAATATATATACACTATCAATGTTGTATGGAAAGTTAACAAATTTGTGAAACTGATCATGTGATGTAGACCTATAGTTCATTAATTATACCAGGGATGAGATTATGTTTTCAAAATGGCAGCAAAATTCAAAATTGCACCGTAAACAATGTAAAAATGTGACGGTGTTTTGTAATAATGTGGTATAAAATGATACAAATTATATAATGAAACATTTATTTGGACACAAATGCGAACCAACATATTATTTCTTTGTAAGAGGTGGCATAAACTATGAAATAAAAATGGTTGATACAATTCAAAATGGCATCACTGACAAGGTCTAAATTTACACAGTTATAGTAAATATTTTCATGACTTCAGAAAATCTTTCAATTTACTGGCAATGAAAAATATGTATGAAACCCTACAAAGGCAAGTATTTCTTTTTTCAAAATGTGAGCGAAAATAAAAATAGCGCCTCAAAAGTAACTATTTGGCATAACAACTTTATAGAAAATATTCATATTATTGATAACTGAAAGAAGATCTCAATGCAGGATAATCAAAATTTAGCACAGTCTCAATCAGTTTCTCACAGTCCCGTGAGCAGTTACATAATAAATGCTTTGCATTTTAATGCTGCTTTCAAGCATTTACATGACCCTCGACATCCTTTCATACATCCACAGTGGATGAGCTCTTGACATGACATTTGCAGCTTCTGCAAGCCCTGACCAGAATAGTACCCACTTACCATCAAGTTTTTGCCAACCAAATAAATCTGGTGATGGCATACCAGGATTTGCGACTAAACAATTACCCCTGAACAACACTACCTTGTGAGCTACACGTTTCGTATGTTGTAGTAGTGCCTCTCGTGTCGGAGGAATATTGTCAATTGATCTTGTCTTCTGTGTGAATTAATGTTTTCTTAATTCATTCACTGTATTAGATTAACTAGACCGATCATACAGAAGCACAACATACCGTTCTATAACTTTTTTTTACATTTAATATTTCCACTTCATTTGGATTTCAATAATTTGTACAAATGCATCTGACAGTTCCTCATATACGGACCATGTGCCCCAAGCTGATGTCTTACCCTTCCCAGAAAAAGCTGATACTGTGTCACAACAGGTGAAGGCATGGACCAGTGGTTAGACTTTTGATTTCAATGATTTCAATGAAATATGTCGGAAGTTCTTTCCATTGCCAAAACCTATCCACAACTGTTCAATCTGCAGTCTGTTGTTACAAGACACAGACAATACAACAACATCTGTATCAACTGTTCTAATCAATATTCTGTTGTGACCTTTTTCTATGCAGCATATAAGGCAAGCAACAACATTCTGGTATCTGATCTGCCTCTTCATGTGAACATTAGCTCAATAATTCATAGCTGTGTTCTGCAGTATTTCCAATGGCGTTGTCCTTGTCAGTTACTACGATCTCATTTTCTATGCCAGCTTTGATTATTTTATCAGCTTTATTATCGTGTAGACACAAGAATTCTTGCCAGTTTCCTGGAACATTCGATTCATCTTGAACTCATCTTATAATACCTTTACAATTACTTTTCAAATACTGTAGCTTGTGATCCATCGTAGACGTTTTCTTTGCAGGTGGAGGTGTTTGAAAAAGTGGTAACTTGTTCCTCTTGCTTTTATCAGAGACAGACGTTGTTCGATCTACAAGGCGTAAGCCTCACGTATAGACCTTACAAATATCAATTCTGTCAATTAAAATTGCAGTGTTACATACCAGGATTTAAAACTAGGAGATTTTTTTACCTTTCCAAACACCACTTTTCGAATTCTAGGATTACCTCATCATCATTCAAAGATTCTGTGTACTGTCGGTAAGCGTTTGACAATAAACCTTAAAGTGTACATGCTGTAACTTGGTGTTCTCTACGTGCTTTTGTAACATGAGAAGACTTCAGGAATGATTCTGCTGTACAGAGTGATGTAAGCTGGGCATTTACTTAAACACTAGTCCATCCACTATCGTCAAGCCAACTATCAAGGACTTTGAACGCAGCCATTTTTATGTGTAGGCTGCCGAACATCATGACAAAGTTTTCCTCACCATACATCCGAGGCCAGTTCCATTGTATTAGTTTTACTAAGTATGAAAAGTGGTTGGTTAAAAGCAACAATGGGAGTTTGACCTGGATTTAGCTTTCTTAGGAATAAGTTCAATAAATGTTGTATCATTGCAACAGATTTAGCTTGCTCATGAAACAGAAGGGCAGACATTGCTGGTAGTTTATTCCCGTCTGGCAACAATGAAGCATGAGAGGTGAACCAGGAAATGTTTGTCCCAGTTTCAGCCTTAACACTTGCATTTTCCACAACATCTTTGAGCTATTTGACTTCCACTTTTAATGCAACTGGGAATGAATACATATCAATTGACAATTCTTTTTCCACTAATGGGATATCTGGTTCGCTGAATCACATTACAGATGGTGGAAGATTCGAATATCTCTCTGGTAAAAAGCATTTTAAAATAGCTTCAGATTAGTCAAATGTTTGCAAAACTCCTTGAACATCCTATGAAATATGTTGGAATAAAGATATACCGGTACCATGAAATGAATCTTTTGATGGTATACCTCTTGGATTGTGGTCAATGTTGTCTACAGCAGACGAAGTGAAAACATGCTGCAGTAGATGGGTAGGGCAAACAATATCTTCCTGGATATAACGACGACAAGCATCATTGGCCATCAAAGTAGAAATTTCTACCACTCTGTCGTAGGAAACAGATCATCCAAGTTTGAAGAAAGTGTCTACTAGATCACGTTTTTCTAGTCGTAGTGGATCATGATTCCCAAATAAGCACAAACAGGGAGTTTATGGTCTTTCATGTTGGATTGTTTCTTTGTACAACTATCCATTAGAAGCTGTGCTATTGTTAATTTCGAATGAGAATATGAAAGATCCTCAATGTTGGGTCCAGACTGAATCATACTGACCAAAAGAAAGCAATGACTGGGGTACAGAAGTACTTATGGATTTTTATAGATGGCTTCTTATAAAAAAAATGTTCATTAGCATTATAACTAGCACTGTGCAAAGTTTCATGCTTTTACTATAAAGTGGTCAATTATAGGCCAAAGACCACAATTAATTTGTCTATTAGTTCTTTATAACAAAAAAATTGCATCATTTTTTTTTTTGTCAAATCTTTTGTGTGTGTAATGTACAGTACAAGTCCAAAAATATATCCAACATTCAGAAAAATTGCTTTTTTACATCTTACAAATTTAGCCAATACACATCCATACCCCTATGGACAAGTCAAGAGATGTTCCGAAAACTGTCAATATAACCTTTTTGCACCTGGCCTAATCACTCTTTCCATATCAAAATCAGTTAAAATACAACATCCAAAAATGTATTTCAGCTCTCTTCTTTCATTTTCACCCCATCAAAACTAAGAAATGAATGAGAAAGGGAAAGAAAAAAATAAAGAAAAAATACACTTTAATTAAAGGGAACTATATTCTTGGACAACGAAAAGCAGGGTCATTAATTGTGGTCTCGGGCCTATAGCAATATTTTGGACTTCTAAACTACTGGTGGTCATTTTGAATTTGGCGGCCATTATGGAACTTCTTTAGATAGCTCCATATTCAAAAATGTTTGTTAGCATCATAACTAGCACTGTGCAAAGTTCAGTGATTTTACCATAAAGTGACCAATCATACCAATATATAGGACTTAGCCTCTCGACTAATGAGGGCCATTATGGAATTTTTTAGATGGCTCCATGTCCAATAAACTGCTTCGCTGAGCGCAGCTAGATACGCCCGCAGAGGTCCAACCCTGAACAGTTGGGGCAAAAATGGACACAATATTCAAGCTTGATTCAGGTCTGAATTTGGATTGTAATTAAATATTTGACATATTATAGGTTTCTGAATAAATGTAGTCAAAGAACTTGAAATTGGTTATATGAATTGAATTTATATTCAATTAAAGATTTCTTGCTGTTGTGCAATAGTCCCCAATACTTAGTAAATCTGTTGTCAGACTATAAACAAATATAGTTCTATTAATTCTCAATGTCATATTACAAATTTATGGAAATAAAAAGGGAGCTTACATCAATAGATATAAACAATTCACCAAAGTTTCATGAGAATTGGTGACAGCATTTTTGAGTTATTGTCCATAAACTGGAAAATCACCCCTTTTTTTAATGAATAAAACCCCATAACTCAGAAATGTAAAATGTAAAAGTTATAAAATTCTAAAGGGAGCTTACATCAATACATACAAACAATTCACCAAAGTTTCATACGAATTACTGAAAGAATTTTTGAGTTTTTGTCCGAAAACTGAAAAATCCCCCCTTTTTTTATGAATAAAACCCTGTAACTCAGAAACGTAAAATTTTTAATTTATAAAAATCGAAAGGGAGCTCATGTCAAAAGATATAAACAATTCACCACGATTTCTTGCAAGTTGGTGAAAGCATTCTTGACTTATTGTCTGAAAACTGGAAAATCCCCCTTTTTTTAATGAATAAAACCCCATAACTCGGAAACGTCAAATCTAAATTTTATAAAAAACGAAAGGGAGCTCACGTCAATAGATATAAACAATTCACCAAAGTTTTATGCAAATTGGTTAAAGCATTTTTGAGTTAATGTCCGACATGTTGACGACGGACAGACGGACGGACGGACGGACAGACGGACAACGGTATACCATAATACGTCCCGTAAACGGGCGTATAAAAATGTTTATAAGCATCAAAACTTACGATGTGCAAAGTTTCTTGCTATTACCATAAACTGACCAATCATACCAATATAAAGGATTATGCAGCCTCTTGACTATTGGCGGCCCATTTTGAATTTGGAGGCCATGATGGATTTTTTTTTAGATGTCTCCATATCCAAAAATGTTTATAAGCATCAAAACTAACGCTGTGCAAAGTTTCAAGCTTTTACCATAAAGTGATCAATCATACCAATATATAGGACTATTCAAGTCTCTTGACTATTGGCGGCAATTTTGAATTTGGCGGCCATGATGGATTTTTTTTAGATGGCTCCATATCCAAAGATGTTGATAAGCATTAAAACTAATGCTGTGCAAAGTTTCATGCTTTTACCATAAAGTGATCAATTGTGCCAATATATTGGACTTAGCTGCTGGACTATTATAGCGGTTTTCAAAATATTAGGCAAAACTTGCATTTTACCCCTATGTTATATTTTCAGCCATGTCGACCATCTTGGTTAGCAGGCGGGGTCATCGGACACATTTTTTAAACTAAATACCCCAATGAAGATTGTGGCCAAGTATGGTTAAATTGGCCCAGAGGTTTCAGAGAAAAAGTTTTTTGTAAATGTTAACAGACCACGACGATGACAGACGACAGATGCCAAGTGACGAGAAAAGCTCTCCTGGCCCAAAAGGTGAGCTAAAAAAGGAATATGGTAATGCTAATGTTGTTAACAACAGCATCAAATCTAGTACATCAAAAACATTCGAACAATCTCATACAAAGTAATGACTTTCATAGATAAAACTTTAAATGTTGGAAGTTCAATCATTAGAGAAATAATTCAAGAAAAATTGGAAAAGATGTTGATTTTTAGTCTTAGATGCATGATTTTTTCAGTAGTTGTTATTGGCTTTGAACTAGCTGTCACTAACTGCGAGTACTCTCAGATCTGTACTTAGTGTCTTTTTTGTTGTGGGGATGTATAAGTACCCTGCCACATCCACTCTGTGTTTTTGTTATATGTATTTCATGTTTGTATCTATCTGATGAGTTAAGCCTTTTTCAACTGATTTTTATAGTTTGTTCTTATGTTGTACTGTTACACCACTGTTCCAGGTTAGGGGAGGGTTAGGCGCCCGCTAACGTGTTTAACCCCGCCACATTCAAAAGGTGCCTGTCCCAAGTCATTTTAACTGATTTTGATATGGAAAGAGTGATTAGGCCAGGTGCAAAAAGGTAATATTTACAGTTTTCGGAACATCTCTTGACTTGTCCATAGGGGTATGCATGTGTATTGGCTAAATTTGTAAAATGTAAAAGTGCAATCTTTCTGAATGTTGGATATATGTTTGGACTAGTACTGTACATTGCACACAAAAAAAATTTGACAAAAAGACCAGGTGCAATTTTTTTAATGAGACAAAATGTTATAAAGAACTAATAGAGGAATTTAATTGTGGTCTGTGGCCTAAGAGGTGCATTTCAGCAAATATTGAATTTGTACTTTGACAACTTCCCTGAATGATCTATTGGTATTAATTTGTCTAACTATATGAGAATAAATGATTTCCACTTTTATTTGATAGAAATTTTGTAAAAAAGTGATATTTTAGCTTACATGCCCAAAATTTAACTTTTTCAGTTGTTTCAAAAATTTTACAAAAGTAGCATGCTTACTTTCTCTCGGACAGGTTTTTCTGATTTTCTATTTGTGTTTGTGGTATATAATTTTGATGTTTTACTCATTTGTGAACTCTGAACACAAAGAAAAGTAGATAAAAACAGAAAAAGAGTGCAAAATGTGCTGTTTTAAAGGTCTAAGTCTAACAGTCAGTATGAAGCAAGTGAAATATGAGGTTCTATGCACATACAAGTTGAATTCCTTTTAGCAGATTTCACTGAATCTGTATCAAAAGCACTTATTACTGGTTGTTTTACCTTGTCTGTTTCACAGACTACCTTTTTTTTCTGTTTGATAGCTAGTGGTTAAAATATTGGCCTTTTGAGTCTGAAATTTCGTGCCGGTTTTAAACAGTAAAGTGAATAAACTATGCATCAGACCATACTGTCTACATATAAATTGAAAGCAACAGTCTTGTTACATCCAGGCTTCATGTTTTATCATATCTAAGCAAAGATTTGAGCAAAAAGAAGCATATTTCCATCTCCCATATCATATATATGCTTTTTAATATGCAAATATGGGGAATGGCCTAAATTGACAACTTGTTTTTTTTAAGCTTGATATTACTTAAGACCATTTCATCCACATGTGTTAACAAACAAAAAATGGCAAAAAGACCCGGTGCAATTTTTTTAATGAGACAAAACATTATAAAGAACTAATAGAGGAATTTAATTGTGGTCTGTGGCCTAAGACAAATGCATAGGCGGATCCAGGGGGGGGGACCTGGGGGGCCCGGGCCCCCCTTTTGAGGGAAAAATTTGGTTGATTATATAGGGAATCACTGAACATGACTGGAGCGGCCCCCATTAGGTCAGTCAGTGGGCCCCCCTTACAAAAAGTTCTGGATCTGCCACTGAAATGAATGGAAAACAACTGTCATATTCCTGACTTGGTACAGGCATTTCCTTATGTAGAAAATGGTGGATTAAACCTTGTTTTAGAGCTAGCTAAACCTCTCACTTGCTTGACAGTCGCATAAAATTCCATTATATTTACAACAATGTGTGAACAAAACAAACAGACATAATAGGTAAAAATGTCAAAAAATAGGGGTACAGCATTGTGTTATAATCTTAATCACTATAAAAACAAACAAATATCAACAAAGAAAAACACAAGAGTGCACACGCTGAAATGTCTCGCCTACTATACTGACCATTGATTTCATGTTGATAGTCCTACATATAAAGTTTTACTTCAAGTATCACATTAACATTTATGATCCAAGAAAATGAGGTCAAGGTCAGATAAACCAAGGCGGAAATACATGTACACCTTTAATACAATCATTCCATACACAGAATATAGATGACCTATTGCTTATAGTATAAAAGATTCAGAAAAACCATGGAAATTCTATATTGACCAATGAACCATGAAAATGAAGTCAAGGTCAGATGTACCCTGCCAGACAGACATGTACACCTTAAAATCATTCCATGCATCAAATATAGTTGACCTATTCCTTATAGTTTATAAGAAACAAAGTTAACCAGGAAAACTGAACATTGACCAATAAACCATGAAAATGAGGTGAAGGTCAGATGATACCTGCCAGACAGATATATACACCTTACAATCATTCCATACACCAAATATAGTTGACCTTTTGCTTAAAGTTTAAGAAAAACAGACCAAAACACAAAATCTTAACACAAGCATTGAACCATGAAAATGAGGTCAAGGTCAAATAAAACCTGCCAGACTGACATGTACATCGTAAAATATTTTCATACACCAAATATAGTTGACCTACCGCATACAGTATTAGATTGATTGATTTTTGGCTGCTTAACGTCCAGTGGCAAATATTTCATGCATATTCAGGACGAGAACAAATTAACAATAAATAATAGGTTCTGAAATAGGGTCGTCCGGAATTAAGGTCGGAGAAATTTAGACTGCCACGGGAAATGAGGGAATATTGGATAGGGACAGAAATTTAGCCTTGCAACAGGTCACCTACGGACCCCTCAAAGAGTTGTTGCAAGGGTTCTTAACGTACAAAGAGCGTGGCACTCTCTTTACGCGAGGCATCGGATTTAACGTCCCCATTCTGACCGGACGTGGCTGCATATTTGTACATCCCGTACAGCCCCACTTTAGCAAGGGTTTTACTGCCGGACGAGGAAGACCAATGGTGACCATACTTCTATTCCCCAGTCACCCTTGGGGATTACAGTATTAGAAAAACAGACCAAAACACAAAAACTTAACATTGAGCAATGAACCGTGAAAATGAGGTCAAGGTCAAATAAAATGCTCCGCAGGGCGCAGCTTGATACGACCGCAGAGGTCGAACCCTGAACAGTTGGGGCAAGTATGGACACAACATTCAAGCTTGATACAGCTTTGCATTTGGATTGTGATTAAATATTTGACACAGCATAGGTTTCTGACACAGAATGAATGTGGTCTAAGAACTTAAAAATCTTAAATTGGACATTCACCTATTATGGTCCAATATCCAAAATCTAAATACATGGTTAGATTCAGCATATCAAAGAACCCCAAGAATTCAATTTTTGATGAAATCAAACAAAGTTTAATTTTGGACCCTTTTGACCTCAATGTGGACAAAGTTGATAACGGGGCCCAAAAATCAAAAATCTAAATACATGGTTAGATTCAGCATATCAAAGAACCCCATATATTCAATTTTTGTTGAAATCAAACAAAGTTTAATTTTGGACCCCGATTTGGACCAACTTGAAAACTGGGCCCATAATCAAAAATCTAAATACATGTTTAGATTCAGCATATCAAAGAACCCTAAGAATTCAATTTTTGTTAAAATCAAACTAAGTTTAATTTTGGACCCTTTGGACCTTAATGTAGACCAATTTGAAAACGGAACCAAAAATTAAAAATCTAAATACACGGTTAGATTCGGCATATCAAAGAACCCCAATAATTCAATTTTTGATGAAATCAAACAAAGTTTAATTTTGGACCCTTTGAACCTCAATGTGGACCAATTTAAAAACGGGGCCCAAAATCCAAAAACTAAATACACGGTTAGATTCAGCATATTAAAGAAACCCAAGAATTCAAGAATAAAACCCCATTGAAATTGGTCAAGAAACGAAGTATCTTCTTTGGCACAAAACTGTGCAATTAAATATTTCTTGCTATTGCGCAATACTGTACAATTCACAATTTCTTGCTATTGCGCAATATTGTGCTATTGGATATTTCTTGCTATTGCGCAATACTGTGCAATTGAAGATTTCTTGTTCTTGTGCAATACTGTGCAATTGAAGATTTCTTGCTATTGTGCAATACTGTGCAATTGAAAATTTCTTGCTATTGCACAATACTT